GACCTATGGACCAAAAAACTGTGCATAATTTCGCCCACATATGTATCTCCGAAAGCTAAATTTTTAGAATTTATCAAGTCCAGATTTCACGGACAAATCCTGTTGTAACATCAAATTAATCCCCCAGCAACCGCCAGCTCAAAACCATCGAATTTCTTTATGCACAGTTCCAGATAACAATAAACCGTCGCAAACGCGCATACGGAAGTAGCTTCAGACGTACTTCACCCCAAACGGTCCCACCACAACTCGGGAATACTTAATTTCACTCTATTTCACCTATAGATTAATTTTTTGTAAAAATCTCATTTTGCCCCGACCACACCCCCTGGCGACGAGGGGGTGTGGAACAACTCGGGAACACTTAATTTCACTCTATTTCATCTATAGATTAATTTTTTATAAAAATCTCATTTTGCCCCAACCACACCCCTGGCGCCTAGGGGGTGTGGCACAACTCCGGAACACATAATTTTACTCTATTTCACCTATAGATTAAATTGCACTAAAAATCTCATTTTGCCCCAACCACACCCGCTGGCGCCGAAGGGGTGCGGCAAAATCGGGGAAACACTCAATTTCACTTAATTTCATTTAACTTCACTCAATTTCACTTAATTTTACCCATAGAAGAAATTGCACTAAAAATCTCATTTTGCCCCAACCACACCCCCTGGGGCCGAGGGGGTGTGGCACAATCGGGGAAGCACTTAATTTCACTTAATTTCATTTAATTTCACTCAATTTCACTTAATTTTACCCATAGAAGAAATTGCACTAAAAATCTCATTTTGCCCCAACCACACCCCCTGGGGCCGAGGGGGTGTGGCACAATCGGGGAAGCACTTAATTTCACTTAATTTCATTTAATTTCACTCAATTTCACCTAATTTTACCCATAGATTAAATTGCACTAAAAATCTCATTTTGCCCCAACCACACCCCCTGGCGCCGAGGGGGTGTGGCACAACTCCGGAACACATAATTTTACTCTATTTCACCTATAGATTAAATTGCACTAAAAATCTCATTTTGCCCCGACCACACCCCCTGTCGCCAAAGGGGGTGTGGTCCGGTTGCCCCCAAAAGTTGATAGGATCCTCCCCCTGGGGTCCTATGTATGATGGCGAAAACCGATTTCGATTATCTCGATCCGTTCTCCTGATATCCTGCTGACAGACAGACGGACAGACAGACAGACAGACAGACAGACAGACAGACAGACAGACAGACAGACAGACAGACAGACAGACAGACAGACAGACAGACAGACAGACAGACAGACAGACAGACAGACAGACAGACAGACAGACAGACAAAGTCTTCACATAAAGTAGCTGAAGCTACTTAATAATCATTACCCTTGACTACCCCTTGACATCCTGACATTTATGTATATCATATATAAATATTTATGCAGATTATATTTCTGATGAAGACATTCTTCTAAATTACGAAGGCCTCAAAACACTAACCAAGCTTCTTAACAATGCTGCCAGCCAGGTCATTTTAGGCTGCACTTTAGAAACTCTATTTTACTATTCGACCAGTCTGACAGGATTTTTTGTCACGAACGACTGGGTGGTTAAATTACGGCTTGGAACGTACATCGTCAACGCGGTCATCTTTCTCTTCAGTTCTGGAAGTATCGTGAAACAGGTTGACTCTCTCGTGGAGTGGGCGACAATGATTAGGAAACATGGCGGAAGGAAAACCACACAGGATGAGAATCGACTCCTATTGATTGAAGAGGTCAAATCCCGTGCGGTCAGCATAAGTGGACACATATTCGTGATGGACTACAACGCCGTTTTTAATGTAAATGGGCATATTTGATGCGTACATATTTAATTCTATATAGATACATATATATATTTCTGGAAACTGCATAAATATGAACTTACTCTTTTCATAATAGATAATTGGAACGATGGTCACTTACTTTATAATATTCGCCTCTTCCCAGCATGAAACACATTAGTCGCCACAGTGAGAGTGAACAATTTATGCAATTTTGTGATGGAAATGTAGGGAGAATTTGACAAATTTAACCTCGTAACTACCAAATTGAACTTTTCGAGTACCCGAAGTGCTTGAAACACTCTCACGTCGGGCAAGAATCCGATATGCTGTAGGTTTTATTCACTGATAAGTTATCAGTGATAACTGGGGGACTCGATTTTCGGGAATCTCACTAACTTTTACATAATATTTTTAGCCCGAGTCAGGGCTTATGGAACCGTCATGTCCGTCCGTCTGTCTGTCTGTCCGTCTGTCTGTCCGGCACGATAGAGCCAAAACGGATGAACCGATTGACTTGAAATTTTTACCATATGCATATTGGACAAAGTTAGGAAACGAGTTCGAAGATGGGCGAAATCGGTCCAGTGGTTGACCGGTGGGGGTCATCGGAGTGGGTGGGGTCTTATGCACCAAAATTTCAAAATTGTTGTAGAGAGCTGAAATTTGGTACAGAGGTTGCTAATGGCTCCTAATAGAAAAAAATAACTTCAGGTTGGAAAAATTTTCATCATGAGTGACCCTATGGGGTGACCCATACCGATTTTTCAAAACCATCATATCGAACTGAAATTTGGTGGAGAGGTTGCTTATGGGTCTTAATAAAAGAATATGATATGATATTGGTAAAATTTTTATCTGGAACGCCCCTATGGGGTGACCCATACCGATTGAAATTGTTTTAAAAAGATGAAATCCGGCACAATGATACTTAATGACTGCTAATTAAAGAATATGAAGTTAAAAGTGAACAAAGTGCAACCAGACCAAAGTGACCAGAGTGCAATCAGTATGGGGTGACCCATACTGATTTTTAAAAATCGTTATATCGAGCTGAAATTTGATTTGGAGGCTGAATAGCACATACATACAGCTTAGAACTTCAGGTTGTTAAAGAAGCCATTGGTCATGGTGGTCAAGGCACATGATTTGTAACTAATTCAAAAATTTGGTACCAAATAATAGAAACTATCTAACAAACTTTTAACCATCCACAACACGGAAGTTGGTGATATTATGTCGGTCAGTTCGGAAAAGAATTTAGAAGCGGGCTCTGACTTATTGAGTCAGGGACTATGTCCCTGACTCGGGCTATATGGAGTCTGCACTGTAGGTTTTTTTTAATTTTGGAATTGTCATGAACAACATAATGCATTTTGGCAAAATGTTTCGTTCACTGCTACAAATGTGTTAAAAAATTATTATGATCGTTCGTGAATCGTGATGCTACCAGTCTCATCTCTCGTGTGTTTGGTCGGATGATCTGATAGAAAGTTGTAATTAGATATTATCTATTATGGTCAAACTTAAATATGTACGTAGGTATTTACATTAATGATGCAATGTTGAAGGGTTTGAGAATTCATATGGGATTGTCATAATATGAAAACGCATACGTACACAATAACTACATATGTATGTACATATACATGCTTATAACAGAATTTAAAAAAAAAACATTTACGTATGCATGTATTTGTTGAAAAGTAAGCTAATTTCTCTGTACATTATACATGAAAATTCGAACTTCGGCAACATATGCATGTAATGTGTATACATACATATACCTATGTATGTATATTACTCGTCTTAATTCAAACATTTACCACATATACATGAATGAATACATATGCATATGTACATATGTATATATGAACTATTCTGCAGCTACAACATTGCGCTTATGGAGCAAAATTTCCTCACTACTAACTAGACTATTCAAAAAATCACTGTGAACGTAAACAAAATCGGACAGGGTCGATCAGCATATCAAAAAAGGTCACGATGAGTTGAGATGGTCACTTAATAGATAAAAATAAAAACGTTATGAAAAAATAATCTTTGAACTTGTCGTGTACTGTTTCAAAGTCGAAGTCCTATTTTACCACAATTGCGATTAGCTATATATAACCCTGCAAAATTTCAAATCGTTATCTCACCAATTGCACAGTATATTTATAGCTGTCGGAATATTGGGCGAGGACTTGTGCAAACCAATGTACATATGTACATGTCTATGTACATATGTGCACACATACATACATATGTACATAATGTGTACATAATGTGCATTTAACATTGCGGAAATATATATTGAGGGTATTCATTATTTCCTCGTATCCTTAGTATTCTTCGTATCGTAAAATAACTTACGACGCTTATGCGATTTTGTAACCGTCGGAAGATTTTCTCATCCAAAATCGCGTTACTACGCTTACGATGTTTACGAAAGCTGACCCCTTGTTTTATCTTCGTAAACTATTTTACGATACTACGGATACGAAGAAATAACGAATACCCTCATTATGGTCGACTATGCAATTAACTTACAATTAGCAAACTTATGCACATTATGTACATATGTATGTATGTATGTATGCACATATGTACATAATGTGCATATGTATAGCAAAAGTCATCCTATGGGGATTTTACATTTCAAACGGGTCTCAAGCGACTGAGTTAATTGCATAGTCGACCATAATATATATTTCCGCAATGTTCAAACATATCAAACATATGTAGTGACATAAACGAAACCAATATTGTGGAAACACGTTATGTACTATGAACCCTACATCTTTTAATTTTAAAACTTTTTCGGTTTGAAACTAATTGGGATTCTTCTCTAACCAAATGCATACAATAATGTATAGTGGATGTGCATAGTGTACAAAATCTACATAAACACTGTACACATGAAGTTTGCAAAATAAACACTTTTGCACCTTTCAATGATCATTCCTTATACACACACGCGTATGCAGCAGACGCAATTGTCATGTAGAATAGTTGACAAGGTGTAATTTATGGGGGAATTCTTCTGTGTCATAACAAATGCTATGAATTCAACCTCCAGATTATTTGTTTTTGAGTGAAATTGATAAAATAGACCACATCACTTTATCCCTTTATTTTTAAGGCATAAAAATAGCTTGCTGGACAAAGTGGAGTGTAGAATCAAGTGGTTTAACTGCGTTGCCCGCGTAGCGTAATGGATAACGCGTTGGCCTCCTAATATACGTTACGCAATAGATATAGGAGCGAGCCAAAGATTGCGGGTTCGAGTCCCGCCGTGGGTAGTATTTTTTGAGATTTTTTGCATATTTTTAGCCAATATTATGCCTGTCTTGTACAAATTAGGTCAACTGTGTGTCCCTAGTTGTGTGTCTCTTGTGTTTTAGCATGTTTTTAAATTACTGTTACCAGCTTCTTACAAATTTAAATGAAGATTATATCATGCAACTTGTGCAAGAGAGAGGAAGGTTATTTTTGTATGTACATTGTATACCTACATTGTGTGTACACTGTGCAATGTACATTGTATGTACATTGCATGCATATTACATGTATGCACATTGTACATATGTACCTTGTATATACATCTGTATGCACATCATATGTACATGTATGTACATTGTTGTATCTACATTATATGTACATTTATACATATGTACATGTAGGTATGTACATTGTTGTATGTACATTATACATATGTACATTAGATGTACATTATGTGTACACTATATGTACAGGGTGGTTTAAATGTCAGGTTACAATGGAAAATTTTGACTTTGGGTGGGGGTGGTTTTATAAATGCCGCTCCATTGTAGGTTTGCAACTAGAGATCCCGTTCTATATGGGTATAGTGGCGATGGGGAACTTTGACCTAAGAATGCTCAAAAAACGATTCTAGAAATCTCAAATTTTGTTATGATATGTCAAATATATCTGACCAAGTGTCTCCAAAATTTCATACGTTTTCCTTGACAAATAAAGTTCCTACACCAATTCAATGCGAGGAAGTCGGGAAACTAGTTTTTTGTATAAGGTTCTCGTCCTAGAAAGTCGGTCACTAGGTATTTTAGCAGTGGAGTGCTCAAACATATACGTAGAAATCCGAAATTTTTACAGAATATGTTAAATACTGAAGCTGGGCTCGGATCTGCGATGTCTAAAAAGTCCTGTTTTGATGGGAATCGAGCGTGCACGCGCTCTCACCTACTTTAGTCAATTTTATACTTTGACCTAGAGATGCGAAATTTGGCATGCACATGCACTAATTATATGCTGCATCATAATATAACATCAATTCCCGTTCCGTTCGCTATAAATTTTTCAGGAAAAATCAAAAACCAAATGTCACCCATATTTCACTTGGTTTTTGATTTTTCCTGAAAAATTTATAGCGAACGGAACGGGAATTGATGTTATATTATGATGCAGCATACGTCGGTGCACGCACACGCCAAATTTCGCATCTCTAGGTCAAAGTTTAAAATTGACTAAAGTAGGCGAGAGCCCGTGCACGCTCGATTCCCATCAAAACAGGACTTTTTAGACATCGCAGATCCGAGCCCAGCTTCAGTATATCGGGCCATATGTGTTCGTGAACAAAGATGACCCAAATCCATTGTCTATCTCGTATTTAGTGTTTTTTGTCAGCTCCGCCAAAAGCGCTTTTCCGGAAGACTTTGGAACTTCATTGTTAATTTTCTCCTACCGAAACCGAAATTTTCTTAAAATATCAACTATTTCACAAAGCTGGAAGTATAACTTCTTGCGTAGAGTCCAAAATGTTTCGATGGGACGAGGATTACGGAAATTTGGAGGGTTTTCATTTTTCATAATCAAACTCCCATTTGATCACCATGCATTTTGATTCCAACCAAACCAGAAATTTCTTGGACAATTTTGAACAACATTTTAATTTCTTTTTGGTTTTCACTTGATACATATATTTGCCATGAAAAATTGCATTCCTGGAGTTTCTATCACATTTTTGAGGATGTAGGACTTGTCGTCAATGGCCAACATTTTTGATGACATTTTTTTGTAAAGCATTGGAGGTGTTCCGTTTACCATTTTTTCTCGACCTTCCATATGTTTTGGTGCAGATATTTTGGCATACGCTTTGACCTACAATATATGGGCCTTAATAAGATGCAAGTAGTTTGTATTAATCTTTGACCTCTTGGCCGCATCAAGCATGGACGTGGAGCGACATTTTCCAAAAATAAATTCAATCGTTTTTAACTTTCGAGGGGTCGATATGACGGTTTTTTAAGATGCTGCTTATTTGAAGTTGATATTTTCGGATTCTCCATACTTTTTTATATATGTCATAATTTTTGCTAAGTCACACCCTTCCCTGTTGAAATGTAGTCAAGTCTTCTTCGAGTCTTTGTAACTCAAGTTTTTGTACTTACAAAAAATTTGTTTCTCGACTTCCTCGCTTTGAAATCGTATAGGAAATTTAGTTTCAATTATAAATTTATGAAATTTTGTGGGCACAGAGTTACATATATTTGTAACCTTATACAAAAAATTCGGACTCCTAACACTATTTTTGACCTCCTCCAACCAAACTGTAACAAGTGACTCAAGGACGAGCTCTATAAGTACGAAAATCTGAGCGACAAAGACTCGAAGAAGGGTGGACTATGTTTCAACAGAGGAGGGTGTGGCCGAGCAAAACTTAAAAAAAGTATGGAGAATCAGAAAATGACAACTTCAAAAAGCACCATGTGGAAAAACCATCATATCGACCCCGCGAAAGTTAAAAACGATTGAAATTATTTGGCCTGTTATGGCCTGTCAATAGGCCAAGGATTTAAAAAATAATTATTTTTTCACAAATAATTTATTTGTCGTCACGTTACACTGACCGCTAAGTGTCAATGCATGTTGAACCACGCCTCCCTCCCCAGATTCGAAAAGTATTCTCTGTCCTGTGACGAAGGAGAGGACCACGCACAACCAGTACCAGCTAGACTCCTCCCTGGATCTGTTTTCCTCGTTGGGGCCACTCAAAAACGGATCCAAAACGTAAACAGCATAAAATTTTGCGATCGACTTGAAATTCAAAACTTAAGGGTTTACTAACCTTAAAAATTTATTTGTGGGATAAAAAACACTATAAACTGATGGGAGATAATTTTTATTAACAGCGACCGGTTTCAGAGTTTTCATCAGGCTGTATAAAAATGAATTAATGTTAATGACTAAAATTATTGATAAGATATTAAATGAATTATTGAGTGTGTTGCCAATTTGTAGTATTTACATACCTGTACTATAAGTACTTCAAGGTACAAATAAATTTTATCAGATTGACTCTAATACAAGTTCTTATCCTAAAAATTATTATTAATTACAGTATTACGTTGTGATATTATAATAATATCAGTTCAAGTAAGTATGAAATAAATTACCTGCTTGGAGGAGTGAGTATTTAGTTACAAATTACTTAATTTGTGTCGATACGTTAGGTACGGAAACATGTGAGTTTCTATTATTATTAAAATATCGTTTTTGTTTTTTTTATTTTTGAGCTTGGTGCGAGATCTTTCGAAACCCTACATAGAATTTCGAAATTCGATACAAAAGTGTCACTTCATTTTTTTGACCTTGTGACCTAGATAACTGGTGGGTGTGGGCAAATTTCAAAAATTTGAAAATATATATTTCGCAGAAGGGTCCAAGGTTTCCAAAACGGGCGCCATTTTGAAAATCTATCAACAACTGACCGAGCAATTAATTTCCAAACTTCACATGTTATTACTTATGGGGATGTCGGCCATTTAGCCTTTCATTTTTATTAACATTGACCGATGTTCTACCTTTTCTAAATGGACCATAATTACGTGATTATGTAATGAAAATTATTTTTCTTGTTTCACAGTTTTGATATGATACTAACTCCACTTTCCTATTTGCAACCGACTTACTTATGAATACAAGATTGTCGAGGTTGCTGATATTAAGCACCGAAATAAACTTTAAATTTTGTTACGTCATATTTTGAAGTGCATATACATTTTATATATATTATTCTCATTACTAAAATAGTGAGGTGTGTGCATTAACGACGGTTTATTTCAGTTTGTTTTAAAATGCTGTTAATGGTCCCTCACGTAATGATGCATGCTTGGGAACGAGTGTTGTCTGATTTGTTATCGTAGTTTTATAGATAATATGATCACCTTTTTGGCGTGTATTAACAAATGAGAATCCATGCAAAAATTTTTCCATTTTGCGGTGTACTATTATGAATTTCACATCTATCAACATACCGGTCATTGCTCCTGATCTGGTTCTGGTGGTGTAATAGTTTCAGATAGATTGAATGTATCATTGTGGGATGATGAGTTCCTGGTTTTCACTTTTTCTTTCACTTGATTTTATGTTTATATCTTATTGACAAACGTGGGTTTACTTATCAATCTTGGTTCGGGCTAAACAACAAAGCTGTACTGATGGGCGTTATATTTATTATACCATCATAAATGACGTATTACATAATAACAGTAGACACTTATTAATGTAGTTTGTGTATTTACTTAATAAATTGACATACAGTTCCAGAAAAATCCAACCATGTTACTAATATAGGGTAAAACTGTTCATTTGAGTAGGTTATGAAACATAATTCATTATCATTATTGTCCGATACAACCGAGTTTCGTATTTTTATTAACGTCGACCTTAGCAGTTGTGTTCCAAATTTTTTCAAATGTTCATGTCTTTCCGTTTAATAGTTACTGCGATTACGGATAGACTGACGGACCTAACAATCTAACAAAGGGCAGCTTCACCGGCTACACCCAAGTCAGCATTGTGGCTGAGAAACAGGCAGACGGGTTTAAAACCTGAAAAAGTAGCATGTTGTCTGGTAGTATTCGACATTTATCGGATCCTGGTTTTGAATATGTATGACACAAAATGCTACGCCACTGGAAATCTATGCCACTGGCGTTACTAAATTTGGAGTAGACAAACCTCCATTAAACAACGGGTTGGAAGATTTGTGGATTGTTGATTATATTGTTAATTGTCAATATTATCAATCAGTATATATTATCGATCATTATTAATCACCAATTTCATAAATTAATATCAATATTTCTCCGCTCGTGCACCAATTTAATCAATTACTGTTATTAAATAGTTAAGCGCTTAGTTACGAATTTAATCAACTCAATTATCAATTGAGAGATAAAAGATTCACGTCATTTTCTTCATAATTAACATTATTTAAAATTATCTTTATTTGTAATTCAGAACCAGAATTTGTGGTCGT